ATAATTCCGATCTTGACTTTGTCACATAGAAAATGTGATTTTAGTGAGGGTTTCTTCATTGCTTTTTTCCAGAAAATATCGTCTCAGTCTCGGAAATCTCGATTCTATTTCAATTTTCTGTTTTCTGCATTTTTTTCCTAAAGTATCAGATGCAGCAGGCTCTCGGTTCCTAAAGGAGCCGAATCTTTCTTCAACCAAGCCGACTCGGTTCACAAGGGAGCTGACTTGGTTCACCTAGGCATCATTTTCTTCATTTTGCATGCTCTCGACCCAAAAGAGCCGACTTGGTTCTTAAAAGAGTCGACTGGGTTGCTCTCAGCCCAACCGAGCCGACTCGGTTCTTAAAGGAGCCGATTGGGTTCATTCATGCCTCATTTTAGTCATTTTTGGTGCTCTCAGCCTAAAGGAGCCAACTCAGTTGCCAACTGAGTCGACTCAGTTTGGCTGCCATGATGACATATCTTCAAATGGTCATAATTTGCTCATTTTAGGTCCAGATTAGGTCATTCTTGAGTCTAAATTCAAAAGCTTGAAGTCAGATTTTCAATGGTACCAACCACACACTGAAACTCCAACTGTAGTGAGAGTTATGATGGTTTTAGTGAGATAAGGTTGTGGTACCTCTAAATCGGAGGACGCCGCTTTGTCCTATTTTTATATCTTTGTCATTTGGACTCCGAATCTAGCGATTCTTGAGTCTAACTTTATTAATTTTTTGTTTTCTTTCCAATGGTGTGCACGGTGGCACCCATTTCATTTTGGAATGACTATTTTGCCCTTGGTTCATTCCTTGAAGGGTTTTGAAACCCTAGCTCAGGTTTTTCTTCTATTGAGTCACGGGACTCCTCGGAAGGTCGTTCTTATGTCTTAGGGATGACGTATATCTCTATAGACTTGTTCATGTTTAACTTCTGCATTTTGGATCCGTTTCAGGTCATCACAGGACACACTGGGCTTGTAAAATTCAGGGTCGTCACAAATATCATTTCTACAAAAGTCCTTAAAGATTCTCTTCACACTTTTAGCAAGCTCTCTGGTCTTACCCCTAACCTAAACAAAAGCCAAATCTTTTTTAGTGGTATTTTCTGATGGTGAAATGATGGCAATCTCAAGCATTTTTTAGTTCTCTTGTGGCTCTTTTCTAGTAAGATGCCTTGGCATACCACTTATCTCTTCTAGACTTACAGTTGATGATTGCCAAACACGCATAGATAACATGCTATCTAAAGTGAATAATTAGACTGCTAGAACACTTTCCTTTGTAAGAAGGCTACAACTTATCAAGGCAACACTCTTAAGTATACATATCTATTTGACAAACATTTTGATACTACATATCAAAGTGTGTGAGCTTATTACTCAAATTCTAAAAAGATTTTTATGGTTAGGACCAAACATGAATAGATTCAAGGCAAAAGTGGACTAGGAACATGTGTGCACACCAAAGAAAGCAGGTGGATTAGAACTACGTGATATTCAAAAGTGGAACAATGTAGCAATATTGAGACACCTATGGACTTTATGCTCAAATGAAGAACACATCTTATGGAGGACTTGGACAGAAGAACACTTAATCAAACAGAAACGCATTTGGGATATCAATATTCCAAATCAATGTTCATGGTTCTGGAGGAAATTGTTACAAAATAGACACTTAGCACAACCTTTGATCAAGCACAAAGTTAACAATGGCTCTTCAACATTGGTATTCTTTGACAACTGACCTCTATATCAGGTGTAAAACTCAAACTCTTTTCATAGACATGGATTGTTCATCAATAGGTTTATTAAAGTGTCTCAACTCTTCACTCATAACCAATGGGCATGGTCTAGGAGCTTATCTAACCTGATATCCCCACACTTTGACCTAACCACACTTACCTTACCAAATTTGTTAGTGAATGACCTCATCTAATGGGATCCCTCACCAACAAAGAGGTATTCTCTCAAACACACCATCACATCCATCTATCCCTCTCTCCCCACTATACATTGGCATAAGCTGGTATGGTTTAAACATCTAATCCGAAAGCACCCATTCTATTTCTGGATTGCAATTCAGGAAAAATTATCAACTCTTGACAAGCATTCAATGGATTATATGATGCAGCCTAATGTATGTATATTGTGCTTAAGTGATGCAGAGAGTCATGACCACATATTCCATCAATGTTTATACTTGAAATTTGTTTGGAATGGAATTCAACATAAACGTGGGTTTATTACAAACCCTAGTTCTTGGTAAAGTTTCCTAATTTTGGCTTCTTCAAATTGGAAGCAAAAAAGTAAAGGATTGCAAAATACTATGTAGAAGCTAATGTTGGTAAGCTTTGTCTACCAAATATGGAGTGAACGCAACAACAAAATCTTCCGCAATCTGAGTGGTGCTCCATCAAAGACACTCAATGCAATTGTCAATTCGGTGAGATACAAATTGTTCTCCATCAAGAAATTGCAAAGGATTGGAACCTACCCAACTCCTTCTACGAACTAGCCCACTCGAACCTCTTTTACCCATTTCCACAATCCTCATCCATTCCCCAATCACAACCACAACCACAACCACAAATGCCATAGTCAAATCCCCAACCTCTGCTAAGACACTGTAGAACTTGTTGATGAATTCCCGCCCATGCTTATGGACTGGGTTTGAGAATTTGAGACTCTGATATCCACATTGGGCCAACTGCTTGGACAATCTGGATGTGTTTTATTACTTTGGGCTTGTTGCCTTATTTTTTTGTTGTTTTGTATTTGTTATGCGCTTATGGCCCAATGTTTTCTCCTAGGGAATGCGCCATGTTTATTTGAAATGTTTTCTCCTTCAATGCATCTTATTTATCGAAAAAAAGTCAACAATCATTTTTTCTTCCCAACACACTTGAAAGTAGCAATTTTATCTTAATGTTAATTTATGGTGATGGCACTAGAAAGAACAAGGAAACCTTGGTGCAGAGAAGTTGCCAAGCTTTTCCATGGCCCAACTAATTGTGAATTTTCTTTTGTATTCGCGTGGTCTGAGAATTAAGGGTTGGAAAAAGGTTAAGAGTTGGAGCATTTATATGTGAAAAGGTAAATATTGTATAACTTTGAGATATTTTATATGGTTTAATTTGCATTATTTATGTACTTATCTTCACTACAGTAAGTAATACAAGTTAATGAAATTATTTTCCACTTGTGTCGTCCTTATCATATTTAAGGTTTGTAGTGCCAGCAAGTTACATTTATATATATATATAATATATTTTGGTTTTAAGGTATTTTTAAAAATCTGCCTAGCTACATCCCAGATGAGAAGATAATTCATTATATATTGCGTAAAAAGTTATTATGGTGGAAATTAGGATCGAGTCATATGGCAGAGGCAGCTTAATATAATTCGAAGTTATAGGCAAAAATTATAAAAATGGCCTTTTAATATATTAATAATGTTTATTTAAATAAAACTCACACATTTGATCAAGTCAATAATATTTTTTTCTTTCGAAATTGTATAATTTTTTAATTATTTTAAATAATTTAATTGCTCATTTGTTTAAATGAGTTAAGATGAAGAGGGGGAAAGTAAAAGTAAATAACAGAATTTGAAAGTGTTATTAATTTTCATAATTGTTAGTTAGATATATATTCCATAATTAATACAACTGAAAAAATTAAATAAGGATAGAAAAACGTGGAAGAAGGGGGAGGAGCCTTGGAGGGGGAAAAAAATTAAATAAGGATAGAATTATGAATTTTAATAGAAAGTGGAATGAAGAAATTTATAATAAATAAATTATTTTTGCTCACTAGTAAATTGCTATAATTTAGTTAGAGTTTAGTAAATGTGCCATACTTAGATTATTATCATCAGTGAGGATGTACACCATTCTCATTATTATATGAACCAATAATAAATGAACACTTCTTATTTTAATTATCAAATCAGATATGGTAAGAAAATAAGAATTTTAATAATATAAGGAAGTAATAATTTTATGGGCCAAGGAATAGAACGAAATATTAATAGTGGAAATAATGATTTTAGGGCCTTACTAATAAAAGAAAATAGAAATGATAAAGAGTCTAATAAAATAAAGAAATAATAATTTTATGAACTTTCTTATTTGTTGGCCCTTCAAATAATATAATGAAATAAAATTGTTAAAACATTCTAGCACTAGAATTTCCACCTAGTATATTGCCTCTCTCTCTCTCTCTTAAGAAACATTTGGTGTTGGCCTTCACTCGGTTAGAAGGCTTACTTGTAAACCCTTTTAAAGATTGTATGGGTTTTGTTTGATACTTTGATATCAATTATAGTTATTTAATTTTTTATTTTTTTATCAAATCAAAATATGAATCCCTAATTGCATCATTTGCATGACATAAATCTACACAATTTAGGAAGCACATTAAATTTGAAATTTGTAACATACTGCGTATATGATATCCATCTAAGCCAAATTATACCAAATACCCTTGAACTATCAACTTATTGCAATATAACCCCTAAACTATGAAATATACCAATCAATCCGCAAACAATCAATTATCATTTGATCACCATAAAGAACATTTAAAAGAACTTGTTCACTTTCTGATCTCCCTCTTGTCGGTGAACAAACATTTGATTCATCTTTTCATTTATTGAACTTCAAAATTTTTAATAAATTTAAGGAATTTAATTTTCATTTGATCATCGATGTTTGCTATTTAATAGCTCAAAATCATTTGACAAACAAAGCAATTGAGTCAAATGATTTTTTTTTTTAAATTATTAAATAATTTAAAAAAAAAATTGAATTAAATGTATGAAAAAGTTATGTGTCGTTTACTGACTAAGACAAAAGCAAGTATCTAATTTATTTTGACAGTTAGGGGCTTAATTGGTATATTTCATAGTTGAAGAGTGTATGCTGCAATAACCCCATAGTTTATGGGTGTTTGGTACTACTCTGTAGTATATATTTCTTAACAAATCTGCCACCCAATTTACCCTCCAAATTGTCGCCCTCTTGTTTCTCTCTCCTCTCTCTCTCTACGTATTCTCTACCTACGTCATGTCTACCAAAGCTCTAACCAGCTTCGAGGTCCCATGTAGTGATTTCTCTCCTCGTTAGGGTTTTTCGGTGCTCATAATCTCTCCAAAACATCGACTTTCCAAGAAATTTTGTACAAAATTGTGTCAAGGAGGCAGTTTTCTCCGTTGGATTCCTGAAAAATTATTTGAAATTTGAAAAATTGTGTATTTTCTAGTGTTTTGGTGAAGAAAATGCCGGCTCATCAATCGAAATCGGAGAAGCAGCTTCGGAGAGATCCATACGAGGTTCTCGGAGTCTCGCGGAGATCCACAGATCAGGAGATCAAAAGCGCTTATCGTAAAATGGCTCTCAAGTATATGTTACTACTTTCCTCTGTGTTCATCAATTTCTAATATCAAAAGCATCATTGGCGTGGTCATGTTTTTTAAAGTTTTATTTTTTTGTTTGTACTGATCTTTCTTTGTCATGTCAATTGCGAAGTCATTATATTGTTTTTGATTTTGGTAACATGTTTTTTGAATGTTAAGATTGTGACTAATTCTGATACGCTTGTATTGTTTGGTTCAGTTTTCTGAAAATAGTTTGTAAGAACTCGAAGAACAGATAAATAGTATCTTGATTTTAATTTCTCTACAAATGAAAACTGAATCAAACAAAAATTATATTGTTTTGTTTTCTTGAAGGTGTATGAATCGACTCGACTATGTTAAAGGGTTTTATTATTTTAGGTCCCAAATGATGGGAAAATGGAAATTCGAAAAGAAACTTAAGATTTGAATTTTTTTTTTTTTTTTTTTTTCTCTTAATTTTGCTTAGTACTAAAAGAGAATTTTGATGCATGGAAAAGATAAATTAGACCGTCTTTCTGATTTATAGATGTTTGCCTTTTTCTCTGCTTGTCCACGTGTCTGTTTGGATTTAAATAAGCATACATTTTTATTGGGAAATTCGGTATGAGTACATGGGCATTGGTTAACTTATTGTTGGAGTACCTGAACTTAGCTTTGACGATACTGGCTTAGATGTTTACCTGGAAGATAGTCTTGAACGTGACTGTGCATAAGAGAGGAAGTAGTAGGGCGAAGATGACTTGATAAATCGACCTAGAAGTTATCCAATCTTGTATATACTGAAGTATAAATTTTAATAGGCTAAAATGGATAAAAAAAGTACTTCATTGACTTTGCATGGTTGGACAATGTCCTCCCTGACAGAGTTAGTGTATTTGATTTTATGGTTGTCTCAGCTACTCATTGCCTTCCCTATAAGCTCACTAGTGGTAGAGTGCTTAAATTTCTTGTGTTTCTTGACTAATTGTAGTCTAACTGAGATTTTAATTGACCTTTGACATAATTATATCAAATCTCAATGAAGTATAACTGTTCCCACCACTTTAGAAATTTATAAATATTTTATAGCACCTGCAAGTAATCAAATTGGGCATAAGATGGAATAGTACGCACAATTTAAGGCACAAATTAGCACAGCGAGCTTGATTCTGAGGTGAACCAAGACTTGAGGGTTTTATGCATTTGGGTTGATATACCTTTTCCTTATTGGTGCAAAAGTTAGAAATGTACTTGGAATGTGTACACAAATCGCCCTTTTGTGCTTTAAGTTATAAATTTTTGGAGGAAGATGTTTATAGTGAGTGCCAAAGAGAGATTGGGAGAAATTATTTTTATCAAGGCCTTTAGTTTGCTCACATGACAGTGGGAGTGGGTCCTAATAAGCCAAAGTCTGAGTAGTTTCTGGTGTGGGCGTTTCCTCCTACTTAGTGGGTTAAAATCAACATTGATAAATGCTCGAAAGGAAATGCGGTCATTGCCAGGGGGTACTTTGGAAATTAGATAGCAGGGTTCTCCTATAATATTGGAGAATGGCACAATATTCTTGCCAAGCTTTGGGTGCATTACCATGGGCTCAAAATGGCCTGTGATAAGGGGTTCAGGCCTGTCATAGTTGAATCCAGTTTAGAGACTAATTATTATGGTGAAGAGGCAAGTGGCTGATTCTCAACTGCACTGGGAACTTATATGGGCAACTAAAAACTTGATTAGGTGATTGGAACTGCAAGCTCATTCACAGTTATAGACAACACAGCTACTGCCCGGATCGGATGGCTAATTCATCTGGGATGCCAAAACGGTCAGGCCTTGCATCAGAGCCCACCAGATGGATTCGAGAACCTGCTATGGTAGATACTTGAGTGTTATATCTTCTGTTCCTCCTTAGTTGTTATTTGAGCCCTGAGCCCCCTTCTAAGCTCTGTGTGTGTGTGTGTGAGAGAGAGAGAGAGAGAGAGAGAGAGGGAGAGAGAGAAATTATAATGTTCATTAACTGTAATAAGTTAAAACTCTTGTGTTTTTGAGCCCTGTCCTTTCCTAGATAGTAATTGTGCATGCTGCAATATGTTGGTTTTCATTGCATGTTCCTCTCTCTTCTCTCCGAACCAATTAATATATTAATAGTGTTTATATTTTTCGATTTCAGGTACCATCCTGATAAGAATGCAGATGACCCCAAAGCAGCTGAAATGTTTAAGGAGGTCACTTTTTCTTATAATATTTTATCTGATCCAGACAAACGGTGCCAGTATGACACCTCTGGTTTTGAGGTTAGACATTTAAGAACATACCCTATTGATTGAAAATCTTAATATTTAAGAGGGCCTCTGATGTTGTTTTCAAAGAGGCAAATTGTTCATTTGCTTAGTTTGGGAAGTGTTTCAAGATTCCTATTATTGCATTTATTCAAATTCTGTTCTGATTTAGTTTGGTCTCAGTCAGTTATGTTATGAGAGTTTGACTGAAGATTTGGTTCTAATGTGGCATCATTGTCCTTTGCACAGGCTGTTGAATCAGAAAGCCAAGAACTGGAGGTAGATCTTTCGAGTTTGGGAACTGTGAACACCATAGTTGCAGCACTTTTCAGGTAATTCCTTGTACTGTCTTTCTCATTCTTCATACTTTTATTTTTGCTATTGGATTGATTTTAACAATAATAATAAGCTCCATGCCATGAAATAATAGGTTGTTCTGTTCTTACTTTAACCTACATATAGTAAACTCGGTGTGCCAATCAAAACAATTGTTTCAGAAACTGTCTTGGAGGAGGCACTGAAAGGTACAGTAGTCATTCATCCACTCCTGCTGGGGCAACCTGTGTTTAGAAAGGTAAGGTCGTGTTATTTGCGTTTCAGCTTTTATGTTGTTAAATTTGGTATGCTCCTATTGATCTTTTGCATTATTTAACAGGTCCAAAAGCAATGCGCTCACTTCTACTCTGTAATAATTACAGAGGAAGAAGCACGAGCTGGATTTGTGTGCCGGGTGCAATCATCAGACAAAAGCAAATTCAAGGTTTGTATAAGTTATTTTTTTGTATAAGTTATTTTTATCTGTCATGTTAATTTTTAAAGTAACTGCATATAAATTGTGCAACATGATGCTCTTAAGCACGGGCACAGGAAGGAGGCTGGCAGGGGCCATAGAACTCCCCAAGCTCCATGATTCCTCTTAGTTACCTTTATATTAAATATGTGTTGGTTTTCATATTTTAAACATGGCACCTCATAATCTGTCCCTATACTAATGTGCCCATACTCCATCCCACTCTTTGATATATATTGATAAGGTGGTCTTTTAAAATTAATTGTCCCTTATCTTATCCCATATTTTATTTCCTTCCAAATTAACTGTTCATTATCTTTCCCCATATTTTCTTTCTTTATTAGTAGTTTCTTTTGTCTTCTTCTTGGTCATTTCATCTGAAAATTTCATAAATCTTTTCTAGAGAATGTTCTTCTGTGTTTTTGAGGACAAAGTTAAACCATATTGTTAATTAAACCTTTTTTTAACCAAATGATAACTTTGTAGCTGATTATTTGTCTGCTTTCAAGTTGAAAAAATTACATTCAATTTCCATAACATTTAATAGATTTAAAAATGCACAATATATTGAAGTTAAATTTAAGCAAAACGAGTTTTGGCTGTAAAAGAGAATTTCTGGGAAAATATAACGACCACTTTTAGAATTATATTAGTCTAGAAAATAAATGAAAAGATATTCAAAGTTCCATCTGAAAAAACGAAGAACTATAATCAACTATAAAAAGATAAGTTATTTAAATTTGGCCTGCAAATATTTAATTCAAAGAAGTTTAAACTTGTTAGAAAAATTGGTTGTCAGATTACAAAGGAAAAAAAATATCATTTTCTCAAGACGAAGCGTCATTCTCATTAAAAATCTAGCTCTGTCCTGCTCTTAAGTTCTCTGTCTAATCATGTGAAGCTTGGGTTAAGTTCATTATGTAAATTTTTTGTTTCATACTTCTAAAACTTCAAATTAGAGTTATTTATTGGCATTCTGAATTTTATTATTTTCCATGATTTTAAAAAATACAGAAATAATATAATAAAGTTGTTTTTATCTTTAAATTTCTGGACTACAAAGGTATAAATATGACTGATTCTACTTATCAAGAATCAGTCATATTTATCAGGAAAACTACATAATCTCTACACACAAAACTTATACATCTGGTGATAAATCATTTTAAGCTCATGCAGTCATTTAGATAGTATGAACTCTATTCTCAATTATTTTCTGAAATCTTGTAGGATTGAATTGAAGAAGGTAGTATTATTGACCCCCTTTTGATGATTTAATAGTTCTGTGACTTGTATCTAAAATGTCAGGTCTGCTCTAGTGTCTCACACTTAAATATGGGTCAAGTTCTTGGCTGTGTTAGTGTGATGGATGTTGTGCCTCAAAAGTTTGCAAAAAGTGTACCTGTTGGTCATTCTCTGAGCTTGTAGAACAGTCACTATGTGGCCTGATACATATGAAGTTTGCTTTTTATTATTTAACGAGGAACTAGAACTTAGGCCTCCTATTTTCTCGAGTATTCTTAGTTTTACCTTCTATTTCAAATAGAGCTTTTGTGTTTTGGCTGCCATACTTGAAGGCCTTACACAAACTACAAACGTTTAACTTTCACTTGAGTTGATCTGACTGCATTCTTTTTCTACAGATTTTCTCTTTTGTTGATAGCTTTATATTCCTCATTTTGTTTGAAGCCCTTAAAATTTCAAGTTCCGAACAGCTGTTTTTCTTATATGCTGATGCAAAATATACATAAAAAAAAATAGTAAAAAAAAATTTGGCAGTCAGTTGAATATATATAGTTTGAAGATATTTACTTAAAAATATCCTAACACACCAGCATCAATGGTTTTACTAATCGGCTTGGGGTTTTTGCAGCTATTGTATTTTGATCAAAATGCAAATGGTGGATTAGACCTTGCACTGCAGGTACCAAGTGTTCTCCTTTTGTCAGTTGTGAGTTTTTGTTAGGAGGAATTTGTTGATGTAATTTAGAACAGTCTACTTCCATTTTTTAGGATCACAGAATTATAAATGTAGAACCACAATAGATACTATGGAAATGAATAACTACTGCAGTTGTTTTCGCTTATCTAACATGCATCTATCTTAATCTTGACTATATGACATGCAAAAGGAGTTTTGAAATCCATTTGGTTCTTTTGAAAGCTTTTCTGAATACTTTACTTTTGTTTCTTTGGAAACAGAGTATGAAAGCTCCTTTGCAACTGTCAGAGAGGTTCTCGGAAAATCAGAAAGGAGCCTGTATGATATTTATCAAACTTAATCAGCTATAAACTCATATGACTGAAATGAATGACTGAATTATCAAACTCAATCTGCTTTCAGCATGAAGAAGATTTCGAAAATATAAAATAATGCTCAGTGTACCTGAACCATAAGCCTTAACTTCCCTAAATGTAGTTCCTGCTAGATTGGGAAACCCACTTCTACTACCACTTCAACCCAAAATTCCACCAATTTACTTGAGAAATTTTGCAGCGTAGCAATTCTCAGGTATTATTATAGGTCTATTGTGTTTGTAGTGTTACAAAGAGTGGATTGGGGGAGATCTTCTAACCAAATTTTTTTTTTTTTAGTATGGTTGGGTCACTATTTTAATTATTATTTTTTAATTAAGAAGGGACTTGAGTGAACCACTTTTTGTTCTTTTTTCCTCCCTTATTGAACTTAGATGTAATTTTGGTTGGGTGAATTGAAAAATGGAGATTTTTCAAGGTGCTTAACAAAATTGCATTCCAATATACATTTTTCTTCATATTTGTGTGTGCAAGTCCTTTGCACCTTAGAATTTTCTCATGATTTCCGTTTTGCAAAGTGCACATACCACTTCATTACAGCGGTTTGAGTAACTTGTATTCCACTTGTTTTGGTGTAGGAGGATAGTGCAAAAACTGGGAAGGTCACATCTGCTGGGATGTATTTTCTTGGTTTCCCTGTTTATCACTTTACCCAACCAATTAATTCTGTGAGTTGATGATTATTGGTAATAAATGTTAAGGCAACTCTTATTTTTAAACTAATTCTTATTTATCATTTTTCTCTGGATTCTTGGTATTTTGGCTCCAGATGGCAGCAGCAAATAATCCAGACACAGCCTTCTTTAAAAGCCTGGACGGGTTCCAGCCATGTGAAATAACTAAACTACAATCTGGGATCCATGTGTTTGCTGTTTATGGTATTTCTTTGAGTTATCTCCTGTCTGGCTTCCTTGTATCATTTCGTTGATTCTGCAATTTGAACTAGCTGGCTGGTGATGTTCTGACCCATTTCTCAGGTGACAACTTTTTTAACAGCGTAAGTTACACCATAGAAGCTCTTTGTGCTGCACCTTTTACTGAAGCAAGGGAGAATCTTAGAGCTGTGGAAGCTGAGATTTTATCCAAAAGGGTTGAAATCTCAAAGTTTGAAACCGAGTACAGAGAGGTTTGAGCTTCAACATCAGCAGTATGATTCACCTTTATGATTCTCAAAGTTTTTCTTATTTATATGTGGTATGTTTAACAGGTATTAGCACAGTTCACAGAGATGACCAGTAGATATGCACAAGAAAAACAAGCGGTCAGTTGAACGCTTGAAAACTCAGACTAACTTCATCTGGGTGATAATGTTAGAGTGCATCGTTATTTGTTGAAACACACTGAAACCATGCTTGACTCTTGTTCTATTTCTTTTTGTGCAGATTGATGAGATGCTTATGCAGCGGAATGAAATTCTTGGCTCTTATACAATTGCTCAACTAATGAAGCGGAGTAACAGTAGAAGCAAGATTAGTAGTGCATCCAAGGAGGAAAAAGAAGATGTCCAAGTAAGAGATGAAAATTCCTCTAGGGATAGGCATAGGCCAAAGAAGAAGAAATGGTACGATATTCATTTGAATATGGACAAGAGGATGCATTGCTAAGAGAGTGAAAATTATGACACCTTTTCTTTTTGGGGGGCAAAATAGACACGACCTTGTTTAGCCAACACTTTTTTTTTTTTTTTTTTTTTTATTCTTTGCTTACAGTAGGTTTATTATAACTGAAAAGCCTGGGGAAGCTTAAACTAGGTAAAGTTGGGTTGATGATTCTACTTTTCACACTCGCAAGATTGCAGCAGTACTTTTAAACCATGCAAGCAAAAGTTGTGAGATGGACGTGATTCCTGCACCATGCTGTACACTTGGACATGGTTGAATACTGGTTCTGCTTATAGGGCATCTATAATGTAAAGTATTGCCTCACATTGCCATTTTATTTTTACTTTTCAAACTTACCCGGTGTCATGGGGTCGCTAAATGCCGATATGGATGAGTCTTTTGTGTAATTAGCACATAATTTACGTAATGCTTCTGCATATTTAGGGTTCATTTATGGATCATATTGTGAAGTCTTGCTGAAGTTGAAGATTCTGTCGCTGAACTGCGAAGAGTGAGAGAAGCCATTTGTGCACCAACTAGTGCCACCAGGTCCTGTGTTGTGAACCCTTTGGAAGAAAACATAGATAGGATTTGTGTCATTGACATGTTAGGCCTGGCAATATTGCCTTCAACTGCAGAGGCTCTGGAGACAAAGCCATCTTTCCGGCCTAGACGGACTTTGTAGTAGGGACCACCGACCATGGTGACGAGGACACGAGCCGCGACAGTGAGGATATCGGCGCACGAGACAATGTCGGGGCACTGGAGCTCGAGGGAGGTTTTCGCACGCATAGCAAATTCCTGTTTGGATTAAAGTGACATATGTTCCTGACGTTTATGAAATATTTATATTTTATACAATTGGTGAATTCAATGTATTATATTTCGATTCATTATAGAATTGATAGTGTCCATTTGATTACAAGAGATATTTATATATATGTTTGTGATGGCAATCAATACATGATATATAAATAGTAATCATAAATGGTTCATAGTCGGTAATTATGGATGGACTCATAATTAATTAAGATTTGAACTAGATCCGCGTTAGGTTGAGATATATTGCGAGAGCCGTCGTATGCAATTGCTCCCTATCACCGTCATGGCATTTGACTCTTAAGTATGAGAAAATTATAGACTCTTTTATTAATTAATAATTACTTTGATTTGTTCGGCGGATTCTTCGGGATCCTTAGACCGACACTTTGGATAGTTATGTAATTAATAGTTAGAGGGTTGTATCTTCAATATTTGCATCATTGCTACTTGTATTTATTTTGTATTGATTATGGTTGATCACAAAGTAAATTCGAAGGCCTTCGTGTATTTTTAGACAAAAATGATTTATTATATATTTATTTATTTAAATTATTATTTTTGTCAAACAAATGTTTTATTGTGATCGAGCCAGAAATAATCAAAGGTACCAAAATAAATATATTAATTAAGTAGTCGGATTGATGGCTTTATTTATCCGATAACTAATTATGCATAGAGGGGTCAAAGTGCAATATTGACTTAGAGGTTATTTATTATTTAATTGGAGTTCAATTAATTTCTTTTAGTGGAGTAGAAATTAATTTATGAATTAATTGAATTGGGTCCATGGACCGGGCCAATTATTAATTCATTGTAGCCAATAAAATAATAGGCCCAATGGATTCTCACTCATAGCCCAACTTGATATTGGAATCATATTAGATTTGAGACATGTGAATTAGAGATTGAGAAGGATTAGTTGTTTCCTTTTCTTTACCTTTATGTTGCCTATAAATATACATGATCTATGTATATTTTAGATGTGATTTTTAGTAGAAGGAAAAATGAATATATTTTCTCTCTCTAGAAAATTAGGGTTTATGTTCTCATCTAATGGAGGCTCCCACAAGCCTAGTTTTCCAAGGTTATTCATGGAGGCATATGAGTGATTCTTAAAGGCAAAACAATTACCAAGAAGATGGAGATCCAAGAAGAATGCATCTTGCTAAGGAATCTACAATAAGTGAGAACATTCACTTTAGAGGAGAGATCTAAGGTTTACTCAAACCTTGATGTAAGTATTCAATCTTTTAATTGAATGATACATCATGTTTTATTTTTGCATAAAACTTGTCTCTATGTAATGAATCAAGATCTATGAATTTAAATCCCTCGAAAAGTTTTTAAAACTAGCACGTTTCCTAACAGTGGTATCAGAGCATGGTTTAATTCATTACTAGAGATCATGATTTTATGAAAATTCATCATTCATGGATCCAATTTTGATATGCATATATTTATTTATTGATGTATGTTGATGTATGAATTAATATATTGATATATATTGATACATGATGATGTATGTATAATTGTGAATGGATGATGATATGTGTTTTGGGCCATGGATGAAGCTTATAGGAATATTGAATGTAATTTTATCTTTGGATGAATGTAATTAAGGCTTTGATTTAGCCGTTTGAAAGTTCAATGATGTAATTTTATTTTTTCCATTGTATTTCAAATTGTAAATATTTTTAAAGCCATGTAATCTTCGTCAAAGGATGCTATGAAGCTTCAAGAACATCCAAGAGGGTTAAATTAGGCTTCAGGAATTTTCTGGGATTTTTTAGAAATTTTTCGAAATTTTTCTGGAATTTTTTAAGGCCTAATTTAATTTCTGGAATTTTTCGGCGATTTTCCGGCGACCGGAGAGTTGTCGGCGGCAAGGTTTTGGCCGGAGATCAAGAAGGATTGATGGGAAATAATCCCATGTGACGCGGCTAATGATAGACCATCGCGCATTACTTAGAGCATATAAATGTTAAAAGCTGAATCCATTGGCCATTTAAATTACTTCTGTCTGTTATTTATTTATTTAATTGATGCATGGAATAATTAATTGTTTATTATTATTATTCATGCATTGGATCCATGATATTTAATTAAATGACTTGATTTATATTAATTAAATTATGAAAATTAATTGGATTTGATTACTAATTAATTTGTGAGCACTTATTGGGAAACGAAAAATTATTTTTGTAAATTATTTTTAAAGTGTGCTTCAAATTAAATATTAATGAATCATTTAAAGTCCAAATATTTTCTAAATTTAATTGGATTAAAATCAAGACGTTTAGCATGCATCATATCATGTATTTGAATAAAATGAAAACCCTAATTATGAATGATTAAAAAAATTGAGTGTGAGCGGGGATTTTTATACATTGCCCCATGGCCTTCGTTATTAATACCATTGTAATTAGATCTTCAAAAATAAGGCCCCACGCATGATTTGAAGAGTCTTAATATTACAAGAATGGTTGTCTCATGAAAATAAAAATATTAAATGTTCATTGTAATTAGATCTTTAAAAATAAGGCCCTACACATGATTTAAAGATTCTAGATTATAATGACAACATATTTAATGTTTTATTTTTCGTTAGAGCTTTAATAACGTTATACACTCAATCTAAAATCAATAGTGTTAGCTCCCCAACGGAGTGGTCTACACTAGGTGATTTTAGAAAGGCTAAACATAATCGGGAATCATTTCATATAGATAGACAAGACATTGTCTTAAGAAATATGGAGATGATGTGATTTGCCCGCCAATAACAATAATGAACTTCGCCAACCGAATAAGTCATTGGTGTATTGGTTATCCGATTTTTCATGCAGTGGTTAAGGGACCCACATATTATTTTAATGGAAGTGCTCACCTAATAGCAAATGAATCTCTACAATAGTAATAATGAACTCCTCCAACAGGATAAGTTATTGACATATTGATTGGTTGATTTATTATGCTACAGAGTTGAGGGACCCACATTAATTAAAAGGGATTGTTCACCAATAATGATAATGATCTCTTGTTCGATTGAGATTTATTATATTATGTGGTAAACAAACTCATTTTAATTTTAAATATGCATGACAGTATTAATAATTCACCTTGCATATTGTATGAATGCATTTATATTCAGACTAATTATGTCTAATCCATTTTATCTGCTTGCTAATTTCAATGTATGTGGACTTCATTTATAATGACTAGAAAAGGAATTTAGATATTTTATTCACAACGTGGTGGTACAAATGTATTTACTACTCCTAAAACCTAATCCTTTTACTTTAAGATACCCAAGAGAACATTAATGCTTTGAATAAGTGAAATAAGACAAATGAGATGAATTGGTGCAATATTCTAGAGTTTACCTCGAATACGCTCCAAAGCTAACATTTACATTATTTTATTTTCTTCAGGTATCATGTTAAATGTCAATAAGATGTTTTGGTGATATTAGATAGAGAATATGCTAAAGTACTATATCAGACTTGAATAGCATCAAGATAGCCTAAGGAACTCCAGTATGAAATCAAATTTTGGAAAATGATTGTTTATTATTTAAAATTAGCTGGAGATTAATAGGGCTGACTTGGGTGGTAAGTTTCAAGTTGACATGATTATTGCCTTGTTACCAAACTTGTTCGACTCTGTTAGAGTGAACTAAATAAGGAATCAGTTTGAGTTCACACTCGCTGATATTCTTATAGAATTGGTAACAGATGAAGGGATAATCAAGAGTTTGGGCGTTCCTATCAATCTAACCTAGTCTATACCATCTTCTTCTAGGCCCAAGTGGACGAGCAAAGCAAAGAAGAAGGATGATAATAGGACTAGGTAAGCACAAAACATAGGTATCTAAAAGGTTAAAGGGAATAAGGCAGTGTATGTTGAGGGCGAATGAAACTGTTTCTTTTGCCGTTAACTAAAACACTATAGGACGAACTGTCAAAGCAATGACGTGGCATAGGAAAATATATATTTAATCATTGAGCTATGTTATGTGGTTGCATCTATTAATTCCTGATGGATAGATTCTGGAGTCACTAAACATGTTTGCAATTCATCGTAAGGATTTCAGGAATCCAAAAGCCTTGATGATATGGATATATATTTATCTTTTGACCTGATGCCAAGGTTGTAGTTAGGTCAGTGGGAGTATTACATCTGAAATTAGAGAGTATAAGGATATTAGTATTAGAGAACTATCTTTATGCACAGAAGTTAGACGCAATCTAATTTTTGTTTCACTTGTGGT